GTATCTTTCTTCTCCTAGTCATGCCATAAAAGAAAATAAATAGTATTTCAATATTCAAAGTTAATTCAAATACAATAAGTGCATGCCTTTATATAAATTGCAAAGATAACAAACTACTCCTAAATAAAACTTTATATATGTAACAAACTATCTGAGATTACTCTAACTTTATAACTAACTCTATTTAATAATAATATAGTAATGAAATATTATTATAAGCATAATAACTAATTTTATTTTGAAATTATTATCTAATAAATTAAATGATAATTACTTCTATAAAGAGCATATTCAAAGACATATGTCACATAATAAAAAATATTTGGATGAGATGGCATATGTCTCTTCTAACTTAATCAGATGTTCTGAGTTTGAATTAAACAATGAACACGCAGTAGTATTAAATCTCTTAAAATGAATTTGATGTTTATTATGATCCTACAAAATTAAAGAAATTAATCTCTACAATTAAATATCTATTAATATTTTTTAAAATTATCTTTTTCAATATCATTAATAAATAACAATTTTATAAGTTACTCATAATTTCATTACACTTCTTAATATAGTATATTGATTGATATTATAAATTACTCATAATTTCATTACACTTCCTAATATAGTATATTGATTGATATTAGATATTACTCATAATTTCATTACACTTCTTAATATAGTAGTTAATCTCTGATAATGTACTTAATAATTATTATTACTTTGTTAATAGAAAAAAGTTAAGGAAAAAGCCAAATGTCGATGTCATCTAGAGGCCGAGAACTAAAATCCAGGGAGGACAAAGTCGTAATTTCATTTTATGATTTATCCAAAATTGATGATGATGCTTGCGGTGGAAGAACCGTTTATACTTTTTCTAAATTTAAATATCTTCCTCACACTCCAATACCTTACACAAACAAAGAAAATAAAAATCTCTTATCTTCTTTCCCATTCTCAGATCTTAATTTTCCCTCTTTTCAATCACACGATCTGCATAATCCTTATTATATCTACCAATAATTAAATCTAATCAAACCCTTATTCGGTGATCATTTTTCAAGGTGCGATTTCGATTCCTAATTAATCCAATTTCTATGATCTAATCATTGATTTGATCTCTAATTTAAATTAGGTCAATTTTTTGTTGTGTAGACTTTGATGGATAAAATGGTTTCTGTGAAAGGATCAACTGTGTGCAGTGTTCCTATGTCGTTGATTGGATCAATCAATGGTGGTGGTTGTAGTAGAACTGAATTTTTGGGATTTTCTGGTGGTAACAAAGCTAAAGCTAATTCCCTTTCTTGCCATATTAATGTGAGAAAGTTGTGCAAAGCTGTTAATTGCAGTTTCAACTCATCTTCTAATGGGAGTGGAAGTATGGCTGAGAATTTTAATCAAAATGATGAAGATTATGTTAATTCTACTATTCTTGAAGCAGGTTTGTTTAGCTTCTAAAAAAAATTGTATTTTTATTGATTATGATGATTTCTATTATTTTATTGAAATTGAATTTACAAATACAAATTATTAGTTTAGCTACTAAAAATTTGTGTATGATTGATTCTGCGGTGAAAAAAATTGATTTTGAGTGAATTGCTGTTGTAAAATTGATTTTGGTTAAAAGTGAGTTGAATATAAAGGGATTTATGTTTGGATAATCTTATGCAAAATTGAGCTGAACAATCGATTTCAATGTAAAAATCACGTTTAATCTGTTTTGGAGACAGAATCAAATCTTGGTGTGATCAATGTAAATGTGCAGTGTGTTGTTTGTTGATAAGACCAGAAGGTTTGGAAACTTTGTTTTATTTACATGGCTGTGAAAATAAATTTGTAGTGTGATTTTTATTATTTTTTTGTATAGTTGAGGTTAAGAGTGGAGCTGATGGGTTCATAGTCAAAATGAGGGATGGTAGACACTTGAGATGCGTTCATAACAGTCCTCATGGAGGACTTCTTCCGGATTATGCGCCACATCCAGCAATTGTGTTGAAGATGGAAGATGGGACCGGTCTACTTCTCCCTATAATTGTTTGTATGTCTTTTACTTCCTTTATGTTTTGTATTGTATTGTATCGGCAATTTGTTTTGTATTGTATTGCAACGCATTGTATCATAAAAGTTTACCTTTTGGATACTATCTTATTTTGGTGGTTATATTTATATTTCTCTCCCAATGTAATTTTATGGTTCATCTTCATTTACAGTGGAGATGCCGAGTGTCTTGTTAATGGCAGCAATACGCAATGTTCAAATAGTATGTATTCGATTTTCAATTAAATTCCAACGCTTTAGTACTAAGTATTTGGATTCGAATTGATTCTGCTTTTCTGTAACATATCCTCATGAATCAAATGACTAACAACTATCTGGTTGCTGTATCAGGCTAGACCCACTCTATACCAAGTAGTGAAGGAGATGATCGACAAGATGGGTTATGAAGTATGGTGAATTTGATCCATTTGCTATTACATACTCCTAATCGCGATTGTTTTGCGGTCTTCCTTTGTACTCTCATAATTTTTATCTATAAGCAATTGACAAAATATCTTTTTCCATACAGGTGAGAGCTGTGAGAGTTACTAAGAGGGTTCAAGAGGCGTATTTTGCTCAGCTATATCTTTCCAAGGTAAACTTGAGACTTTCATCCCCTCCACCGAATCACACAAAAAGATACCCGGAGTTTCATCTGATAGTATGCCTTGTACTTGTTATAGGTTGGAAATGAGTCGGAATGTATGAGCTTTGATCTTCGACCTTCAGATGCTATCAACATTGCCGTCAGATGCAAGGTAATTCATTCATGTGAGTTCAATCATATGAATAAATGATCACTCTTTAGTTGTATTCTTTTATTGCTTTGCTTGCTGGTTCTTGATTTGCGGAGAATGTTGTTCAGCCAAGTTTCAAATGTCTTGGATTCACTTTTACCAAAGTTTTGGCAAATGTTGTCTATTTTGGAACCTTGAAGTTTTGGATCAAATTACAATTATTGAAAATTACTATTAGTTAAACAAAACATGTTTATCAGAGATTTAACTGGTCCACCAACATTGTAGGTGCCTATACAAGTCAACAAGTATTTGGCATTCAGTGATGGAATGAGAGTTGTTGAATCAGGCAAACTGTCAACACAGTCCCCTGGTTCAGATGGCCCGTTATTCACTGAACTGGATCGGTAGGTTTTTGAAGATACATTTTAAGACAATATGACTTTTATTTGTGTAGTGTAGCATAATCTTTGTTCTGGACATACTACTTTCATTTTTTTTTCAAGAAAGAAATCTTGGAATCTCTTTCATTACTAGCACTTTTTCCATTTTTGAAAGACCAAATGACATATTTGCAGACCAAATGGTAAACCTTGTGTTGAAACTAAGGAGTTCAATCTTTTGCAAAACATGTTGAAAGCGGTAGGAGAAGAGCGCTATCAAGATGCTGGTAATTGTCTTGTTTCTTATTACATTTCTTATGAATTGCTATATAAGATTGAACTTCTAAATTTACTATTCTTCCGTCTCGTGTTCTTGATGCAACTCTAGCTTTATGGAGGGACAGACTTAACCAATTCAGGGCAGAAAAGAAAGCAAATAACAGGTGAGCTTATTTCATATAACAAATTGACAACATCTGTGTCATAAAAATTTTCTAGCGGTTCTCTTTTCTTTAAGTTGACAACTTTTTATTCTGTTTCAGATCCTGGAGACTCTAAACTGTATATATCAAATAAATCCAGCATAGAATGTGGATGGGAATTGGAAGAGCAGATAGCTGACATATCTTTTGCTTCTTCCATTGTGTATACTTTTAATATGTTTGTGAATAATTATGTGCATATGTATAAACATTAACACTAGTGTATCATCATCATGAGAACCTTATTATGCTACTGTTAATATGTATTATTCTGGTTCATCCATTGGATGCAGCATGTTGCTGATGGTTGTGTTGTCTTGTATGAGTTACAGGAAATAAATAAACAAATTCTTGCATGTTTCTATTTTTTGTGATTAAAAATAAAACACTAAGATAAAGTGACAAATATATAAATATGAACTATGGTGAATGAATGATATATGAAACTATTCGATTATTCATTTTAGATAAGATAAAATATAGAGACAGCTATTTGTTGACTTTTTCTTGCTTCTAAGGCCAATCATTTAGTGGGACCAAAGAAGGAATCTTTTAGTGGGAGTGGATGATATTCGAATGAAAAACTTCTTTGGATAATTTTACATATAATAAAATAGGTAGGTAATGTATTAAATTTGTATATTGGTGTTCTAAAATTACTTGCTGTCAAAAAATATTCTAAAGTTAGTTACTCTTTAATCAATGTTTTACTTACTAAATAACAACTTCAAAAGATAGTCAAATAATTATAAGTATCTTTCTTAAAATGTAATTAATGTATCAAACAATTTAAGAAGATTGCCTCAAATTAAGAAAGAAAAACAAAAATTAGTAATACACTTAAATATTTTTGGCATCACTTTGATTCATCACCTAATCATTCATATACTTTCTTTCACAAAGGCATAACGTGTCTCTTTCACAATCTCACACATATTATGAAAAAATCCTTAAAAAAATACCAATTATTCAATATCTACATAAAATTTGTACAAGAAATATGATAATAATTTTGATGAAATGAATAATATGACCATTGACTGAGACAAAGCCTACGTCATGTAATAAATAGAGGGTCCATAAAAACACAAAGTGGCAACTAGCAAGTGGCATAGTGATGTGAGATGAAGCATTCATATCCATAATATATAAAAAATATGTGACATAAAACATTAGTACTATCAATTCTCACACTATATAATGCCTAATACATTTGTCTTTGACAACATTATCAATCTTTGTCTTATTGAATTTGTCTTTTGCCGACACCCTTTCATGTCTGCTACATATTACATGATTGACTCATCTAAAATATCATCAAAGCTTTTCAAATAAGTTAAATTTTGCTTCAGCTTCTGCTTCTTGACATGTCTGAACTCCTTTGTAAGTAGTAATCCATCTTATCTCTTTTTCTTGATTATTTTTAATTCATTTTTTCATGAATTAAGGTGTTTATTTTACTAGGCAAAGATTTAAGAAGAGAGAATTCAGAGGAAGATAAGTGGAAAAAAATGGGGAGTCTTAAAAAGAGAGCAATAAATGCTTCTTGCAAGTTAAGGCATTCTCTTAAGAAGAGAAGAAGTAGCAAAAGTGGAAGTAGACATAACTCACTTTCTATTGAAGATGTTAGACAAGTTGAGGAGCTTCATGCAGTGGATGCTTTTCGACAAGCACTTATTTCAGACAACTTGCTTCCTTCAACACTTGATGACTATCATATGTTATTGAGGTCACACACCCTTTTTCCTTACTAGTTATGTGTGTATGGTCAAATCATTTTTAAAAGTTATAAGCTATTTTCATAAGCTATTATGAAGAACTTGCTGAAATAAGTTGAAAATTTGTTTTCATAACTTCTTTCAAATATTTTATAAGTGTTTATTTTAGTAGATAAGTTCTTATAAGCTATTTGTATACATAGTCGTCTTAAGTTTTTGTAGACCCTGTCTAGCTTAGTCGTGATTTAACATGACAAAATAATTAGAGATTCTACTTAATCACGGTTTAACAATGGCAAATATTTTAAGTAATATTTAGCTATGGTTTTACTGTAACAAATTTTGGGCTCTGTGTGGTATTCCTCCTTGCACGTCCTCAAAGTTGAGACGACCCTGTGTTTGTATATTTCTTCGAAAGGAAATTTATATAATAAATTTATTGTAGATTCTTGAAAGCAAGGAAGTTTGATATTGAGAAAGCAAACCTCATGTGGGCAAACATGATCCAATGGAGGAAAGACTATGGTACAGATACAATTATAGAGGTTAGTTAGCAATATGATTCAATAAATCATGTTTCATTTGATAGTCTCAACATTGATTTTCTCTTTTTTTTTTTAATTTAGTGTTTATACTATAATATGGTTGTTATCTTTAGGATTTTGATTTCAAGGAGTTACAAGAAGTTCACAAGTATTATCCACATGGTTATCATGGTGTGGATAAAGAGGGAAGACCTATTTATATTGAGAGGCTAGGGAAAGTTGATCCCAATAGGCTTATGCAAGTAACTACCATGGAAAGATATTTGAGATACCATGTGCAAACTTTTGAGAAAGCATTTTCTGTCAAGTTTCCAGCTTGCTCTATAGCTGCTAAGAGACACATAGATTCAAGCATCACAATTTTGGATGTTCAGGGCGTGGTAAGTTGTTCGTCTAAGTGTTTTCGGATTGACTGTGAATTTCGCTGACTTACAGTAGTACACTGTGATTTTGCCAAATTCACAGTCAATCTGATGCACTATTGGCTACTAAATTTTACAGACTTTATAGTTTGTATTTACTCGTCTTCGTTTTGCTTTCTAGGGTTTCAAAAACTTCACCAAGTCGGCGCGAGAACTCATTATCCAGTTGCAGAAGATTGATAGTGATTACTACCCTGAGGTATGTAGAATAAGAGAGTTTGGATGAACATTTTCACAAACCAGAAGCTAATTCAATTTTGACACTGCAGACACTTTGCCAAATGTTTATCATCAATGCTGGTCCTGGTTTTAAGCTTCTTTGGAACACAGTGAAAACTTTTCTTGATCCCAAAACTACTTCAAAGATTCATGTACGCGTTCGTTACTTGAGTTATTGTTTCATGTATCAGATTTTTATAAGATTCCATTGAGGTAATAACCTTTTGTGTTTTCCATTAGGTTCTTGGAAACAAGTTCCATAATAAGTTACTTGAGATTATCGATGCGAGGTAACTTCACATTTAGTTTTGTTATTGGCATTATATCTCAGTCTACTTATATTGTTATTTGAAAATTCTGACCTGCTATAAGTTCTCAGTGAGCTGCCGGAATTCTTAGGCGGTAGTTGCACTTGTGAAGATCGTGGTTGTTGTATGAGATCTGATAAAGGACCGTGGCAAGACCCGAACATTTTAAAGGTTTCGTACTTATTATATAATCATAGGACTCTTGTTATTAAATTTTAATCGGGTATTTGGTTTTACTTTTTGCATTTTACTGTGACTCAACTAGAATAGTTATGTGCATGCAGATGGTACTTAGTGGTAAAGTGCAATGTTGTAAACAAATAGTAACCCTTTCAAGCGACGAGGGGAGGGTGATTGAATGTGATAAAACATCTTATCCGACGCTAAAGTTTTTCGGGGCTATCTTAGATACTGTATGATGATGATGAGATGTAATAATTATCACAAATCATCATTTGAGATTTTGTTTCTGAGATCACAGATAAGTGGCTACACATCTACTGGAGAATCAAGATCTGAAGCTGAAGATATCACCTCTCCTAAAGCATATGGGAATTCTATGAACCCTACCTTGACTCCGGTTAAAGATGAGGCAAGTGATTATACATAAATATGAGGTTACAACAAAACAAAAATGTTGCAACAAATAACGAATGAATATGACTGTTTTTATGTTTATCCAGACAAGAATTGCTGAAAAGGTTGTTTGTAGCAGCAGTTTTCCTGTGTATGATGAGTGCGTTCCCATGGTTGACAAGACTGTAGATGTAGTGTCAAAGGAGAAGCAGGCAACACCACAAAACTCATCTGGCTCAAAAGGTTAGAATAAGTTTATCTTACAGATTGGGATATAAATTTATATTGGATGTCAATCATCTTGTCGATGCTTGGTAGCAATGCTCATGAACTCTTTATGGCATGGATGCAGAAAATCTGCTAGTGGTAACTATGACTGGAATAACGGGCTTTGTGTTTGCCTTTTTGGCTTTTGCTCGTTCAATAGCGTTTCGTGTGACAAAGGGAGTAAAAAAGGAGGAGCTTGCTACCGGATTGACAGAGAAAGACCTTTCCTCGTCTTCTACCATAAAACGACTCACTGAGCTTGAAGAAAAAGTTGAGAAGTTAGAGTCAAAACTCAATGTGATGCCGCCTGAGAAAGAGGAGCTGCTGAATGCTGCAGTTTGTCGCGTGGATGCCGTGGAAGCAGAGCTCATTGCTGCGAAGAAGGTAACTATTTCACTTCAAATCAAATTCTATATCACAGTATAATTTTATTTCTTATGCTATTAGTGTATGCTAGATTGATCAGCAATTTGTTCTGTATGTAAAGCAGTGTGTTCAACTTTCTAAACAGGCTTTGTTCGAGGCTTTGATAAGACAAGAAGAACTTTTGGCATACATAGACAGACATGAAAAAAGCAAATTCAAGGCAAGTCAGAGGTTAATGCATTTTATTCTAGTTTATCAATACATAAATAATCAAATTCTAGTTATCATCCTTCATTATCATGAGAGTTCTTTAAAATGTGTTCATTCTGTTTGTAAAGCAGTGCTGGTAAAAGGACGGTGTACATGACAGACTTGTTCGGTGGCTCTCTCTATGTGTGCGCGCGCGAGTGTATGAGGAGAATAGATTGACATGTACAATAATATTGATTCTGTATGTTTGTTTCTAATACAAACATCATTTGACTTGGGTATTGAATAATATTATTACATCCACACATTTTTTAACTCAGCAACAAAAATACTATCACAGAAAATATACACTGATTTGCTTGAAAGATGAACAATGGTACAAAAATGGCATGGTAATCTGTGTTAAGAACATAATGGAACAGACATATTCAGTGATAGCATATCATAACATCGCAAAACATGGATTATGAGGAATATCATATTTTTTCTTACCTCTCAACTCTTCCTTGGGGTTCCATCTAATCTACTCAATTTCTGTCAATTATTTGTAATATTCACACCTTGACCACCCACACTACACTACATCAGTTTCCCTAATCACTGTTTCAATGTTTCGTTAATTACACCTTGAAACATCTAACTAACAACTTTTACATTGGTATTAACTTCATAACATCTTGAAAATCGAAGTTTTGATGCCATAGACAAGTGCATCAGTTATATAAAACTTCCTAACCAAAAGTTGAGAATCAAAAGAAATGAATAAATAGTACAAAAGCATGTCCGGGAAAGGAAAAACCTCGTTACAGCTTGAGAGATCATTGTATGGCACAAGCATATCATCAGTTAAGCCACGGTCAAACTAGGCTGACCAAAGAAAAAACCAGACATATCATCAAATTTTCTCTACTTACAGACACATTCCTCCTCCAGTGCAATTAAGATTCTTGGAAGTTTGTCACATTTATTCCTTAACCCATTTTGATCATTTTGCTGGATCATTTTGCTTTAGCAGCTTACTATCTTCTTCTCTTGAAAATTTTGGCAAACACACGATGGATGTTATTCCCAAAGTTATAATATCCACTCTGACATCTGCTACTTAACAGTTAATACTCAGTAATAATAAAGACAGTAAATAACACAACAATTGTTTACCCAGTTCAGTGTCAACAACACTTACATATGGGGGCTACCAAGCTAGGGAGGAACTTCACTATTAGCAGAATTAATTCAGAGTCAAACGACACAGTTTGCACTCCTCACTTAAAACCTACCCAATGACAATTCAGTCTAGAGACACTCTAGACCTGAGTATACCCACTCACTCCCCCTCAATCACACAACAGTGATATCAAACAATTATAGACTAAATATGAAGATACACTTCATACACACCTTGATCTTGCTTCACAGCTTTGATCAAGGAACTCACACACTCTTGCTTCACAGCTTTGAGTGAGACACATACTAGAATCTACCTATCCAATGCTAATCATCCACAAGACAATAGCTTGGAGTACAAGTATTCCTAAACAGAAATCACACGTGAAGACTAGCCTTCTTCACTCACAAGGACTCTGCAATCTGCACTTTATATTCTTCTGTTAAGTGCTGCTCTTCAGGATTGCATCTTCTGCTCTTTATAGCAGCTGCCAGTCCTTTTGGGGCTTGGTGCATTAATTAGGTTTTATTCATCACAAACCTATTTTCAATGATCTGCACACTTGCCACTTAATTCAGGGATCTTTTATATCGCCTAGGGCTTCTAGAAATTCTCCTGATATCCAGCTTGAGCTCCCATTCTGTTTCCTGATTTATAGATACCAGAAAAACAACCTTGCCTGCTGGATGTCATACGTTCAGTGTTATGACATTCTGTATGATATTCAGTTTAACTAAGTTAACTTATAGTTAACTTACCCTGCACACACATCATTAAGTATGTCCTACCATTCAATATGACATACATGCACACTCTAAAGTTTTGCCACAAAATGCAAACAATCAAGAGCACTTACAAACTCCCTCTTTGGCAAATTTTTTGCTAAAATAACTTGTTAATATATCAGAGTTTACACACAGCAGAAGACTTATGATGTGTCCTATCATGCAGCTAGTTCCTAGCTCAAGCCACTATGAGTCCTCACAGTTAGCTCTTAATGTTAACCATCTCGTAGTTATCACTACAGATGTCACATTTCTTTGAGTAACACTCTGGTGTTCTCCCCCTCAACTGATCAGATCAGTTGGGCACACAACCTGCAGATCATTCTGCAGTCTGCTCTGGATGTCTTGACATTCAGGATGACTTCCTGAAGTCACACACACTTGTGCTACTCCCCTTGAAGTGTTGCACAAGACTCTCTTCACAAGACTGAAGTACACACGCAAGGTTTGCTCCTAGTTTTAACATACATTCATTCATATCCAGTCTAGACATGCATATCACTTCATTGCTAACAACACTATCAGCTGTTATCACACATTTCATCAGTTGCACCTGTGGTTACACCTGTAAGCATGCAAGTCTAATATCATATGCACAAAGGCACATATTATTCTCCTTGTTCTTCCACCTGATGTACCTGCCTTGCTCATGATGTTCTTACATATTATTCTCTCCCCCTTTTTAGCCATAAATTAAAATCTAACTAATGACTTAACATAGATCAAAAGTGTAACATAACAATTTTGAAGTACACATTAAACTAACTGCTCATAAAGAGCATCACACAACTAGTGCAATTCTTGTTGTCAAATAGGTCTAACCAAAAGAACTCACAAAAAAAAATCAACACAACAGTTCACAAAATCAGCTCAGCAACAATCAGCTTGAGCTTCACAGCACTTTACCAGCATAAGTCATTCTTCTTCTTCAGATGCAAAACTGGACCTACCTTTGTCAGATTCTCCATCACTAGTCTCCTCAGCCTCAGGGGATCCATCTTCATCATTGTTTTCTCTCTCTTTCTCTGAATCAGCTTCCTGGCTATCACTCTCTTCTGCACCATCGTTTTGCCTATCCTCATCAGTGAACTCATCATTTTCATTTTGCTCAAGGGTCCTGATTAGTGCTTCAAGAGTTCTTTTCATCGCATCCAGCTCCTGACATTTTTCCTTTAGTTTGACAATCACTTCTGCTTTTCTTGATGCAGACTGTGATGTCTCAGCTGATGTTGCAAAAATGTCAGGAACATGAGTGCCAAGAAACAGCTTGGAATGAAATGATAAGGGACTTTCTCGTTTGCTTGCAGCATCACTCTTTTTAAGAATGTTTGGATACTGTTTCAAAATTATGCCACATATGAGTGAAGGGAATGCAATGGGGCCCTTGATGCTATAGTTGCCTGCATGCTTCATAGTTTGATAAAAAAACATATGTTCCAAAGTCAAATTTGGCCTTGGTCCCAATAACATAGATGATCTTTCCAAGAACAGTTGCCACAGAAGATTTATAGTTTGTGGGCACCCAATTTGCTGGTCCAATCTTATGCAACATAACATATTTGACACTCAATTTGTTGGCAACTAGCTTTCCTTTGGATGGCCATCTTTGTACCTGGTTGCCTGTTATCACTTGGCACATTTTGTTTTCTGAAACGGTTACATCAGGACGAGCTCTATCTGATCTTCCCAGATATTTATTGATTGTTGTTGGAGTAAAAGTAACACACTCCCCTCTTACATGCACCTTGCCAAACTCTTTAGATTTTCTGTCAGCACATCCCTCTGAGAGATTAACTATGAATTCTTTGACAAGTAACTCATAGCATGGATAGAATTCACTAATTGTTTTCATCAATCCTGCATCATTAATGAGTTTCATGATTTCTTTACTTTCAAGAACATTCTGTCCCAGCTCCCTTTCCACTGCCAGCCTTTTCTGAACAACATACTTCCATCTATTAACACATGAGGGGTAATGAAATGAAATGTTGTCAATTGGAACTTCAGGGACCTTTTCAGCCAGTTTGCTCTTGGAGGGTTTCTTCTTGTTTTGGATGTCAGTGACATCCTCAGCAACATCAGACTCAGTCTCTGATTCAGTACCAGATTCAACCTTTCTCTTCTTGGAGACTACTTTGCACCAGGCTTTGGGAGGTCCAACTTGTCTTCTTTTAGTTCTAGCATTCCTCGAGGGAGTGTCATGTTCAGTTGTCTTCTTTGTGAGGTTGTCTTGCTTAGCAACCTGTTCAACTGCCTTTTTCTTGGGGGAACCTTGTTCAGTCACCTTTTTATCTTTCCTTGTCATAAGCCTTTTGACTATGCCAGGATTGATGTTTGCTATTAAATCATTATCAAAATATTCATCAAGGTTCACCAACCCCACATTCTTGGTGCCTTACACATCATCACCACCACCATCAGAGACTACACCCTTGTTCTTCTCTTCTGATGTATGATCTTTCAAGATTCCAACATTGGGCATATCATTACTTTGATCATGCATAGTTGGACCAGACCCCTCATTGCTGGGTGGAATGAGGATGTTCAGAGCCCTAGCTACCATTCCAACAATGATGTTGTGCGTTTTCTTGGCTTTATCATCATTAACATCAGAAGTTGCAGGAGTAGGAATTTTACCTGAGACAAGCTCTTTGGACCTTCTTGCATGTTGGCTCCTTGGATTTTTTACCAGAACCCCTTCTGGAGTCATCATGCGCAGGGGTGCTATTTCAAGCACTGGGTATGTTCTTGGAGACTACTGTTTTGGTGAATGTTGAGACATTGTACAAGACGTTGATCGTGTGAACAGGGGTTTCCGTTCGTTGGAGGCTGTAGGGAAGATGAATAGTTTGATAGTGAACCAAGTGGTGTGGACGTTTGATGTGTAGGGGCTCAAAAGATGATATGGTAAATGAGGAGGGAACTTAATGTAATGACTAATCAGTAAATCTTTGAATTTTAAGTTATAGTTCCCTATTCTCATTAATTGCTATAACTCACCATTACTCAAGGGCCTCAATTTTTGTAAATCATTTTTAACTTTATGGTCCTTGACCCTTCTTGCACCAATTTCAGTCCTATTCATTGCATAATCATCAGGTAATGCATGAATCCATTTACACGGGCTACCTGTAACAGCCCAATTTTCATTAATTAATTATTTATGTTAATTAATTGATTTATTGAAATT